TCTTTATTCTGTTCTGGTTGAATGTTTCTTTCTTCCATCTGGTCCACACCATTGATTTTGAGTCCCAGTTTCCTTCCCATCAGTGTTGGTTCCCTATACATTTTCTTTTATTTCACTTAGCATAGCCCTCATTTTTCATCTAATTTGCAACCATACTTAACCAATTCTGCGAGCATCCTGATTACCAGTGTTTTTAACTGTGCATCTAATAGGTTGGTATCTCTTTGTTACTTAGTTGTATTTTTTTCTGGAGCTTTTTTTTTAAGATTTTATTTATTTATTATTAGAGGGGAAGGAGAGAAGGAGAGAAACATCAATGTATGGTTGCCTTTCATGCATCCCCTACTGGGAACTGGCCTGCAGGGAACCAGCCTGCAACCCAGGCATGTGCCCTGACTGGGAATTGAACTGCGATTCTCTGGTTTGCAGACCTGTGCTTAATCCACTGAGCTACACCAGCCAGGGCCATCTGGAGCTTTGATCTGTTCTTTCATTTGGGCCATTTTTTTTTCTCTCAACATGCCTATTAGTAGTGAAGGGAAGAGCCTTAGGTATTCACCAGGACAGGACAACCCATGTCACTGTGTTGTGATGCTGTCTGTGGGGGAAGAGTTCCAGAGGGAACAATGGCACTTGCTCCACTCTCTGCCAGATCTCAGTCACTTCTCTGGCTACCCACAAGCAAACTGGGCCCTTCTGGTGCTGATTCCCAGGTGGGTGGGTTTGTGTATATTTTAGGACCCTGCGGGTCTCTCCAATGATCACACATTGAGGCTGGAAGTTTCTCCCGCTGCCACCTCAGCCTGGCAGTGGGAGAAAGGTGTTTTCAGTCAGAGGTTTGAGGCTTTATTTCCCCATGCTGGGACTCTGGGTTGTGCAGTCTGTCTTGCTCCCCAGTTGTTCCTCCCGGTTTATCTGCACGTGAATGTGGGACTGCCCTGTCCGCAGTCTGCTGCCTCGTGGGTCCGCCAGCCGCAGCCTTGCCGTGAGCCCCCTCTGCCGGGCTGGCCATCTCTGTCTCTCCTACTGGTCTGGATGAATGTTTCTTCTTTAACTCCTTGGTTGTCGGACTTCCACACAGTTTGATTTTCTGTCAGTTCTGGTCGTTTTTTGTTTTTAAATGTGTGGTTGTCGTCCTTCTTTTGGTTGTGGGAGGCGGCACAGTATGTCTACCTACGCCTCTATCTTGGCTGGAAGTCCTCGTTTTTTCTTGAGTATAAAATATCCCTCACTTTTTGGAAGTTGGCATTAACCACTTCAGTTTTATGAAAGACCTATATTAGTACGTGTTTTATTGCAAACTGTAAAAATCTGAAGAGCATTTTTGCTTTTATGAGACAAGGTGACAAGCAGCAGCCTCACTCAGCGTTTGTTGTGCAATGGGCTTCACGGAGGTGGCGCCCACCCCGAGCAGAGAGGGGGCACTGCTTTCACTACCTGTTAGTGTCATATTAGGTTTTCTGTGTTATTTGCTATGATTTAGCAGGGTATTTTTTTGAGTCTGGGAACACTAACATTTTTTAATGGAGAATAATAGTAACTGCCTCTTCGCTTTATGCCTTTTTAGCTTCCCAAAGCTTTCATAGGAATGGTCTACTTTTGGTTAGAAGGAGGGACCTGCATACCTAGGGGTAGAGTTGCTGGGTTACGTGGTACGTAACTCTGTGTTTCTCTTTTGGGGGAACTACCAAGCTGTTTTCCACAGTGGCTGTACTATTTTACATTCCTACCATCAATGTATGAGGGTTCCAATGTCTACACATCTTGGCCAACACCTGTTACTGTTGGTCTTTTTGTAGTCATGCTAGTGGGTGTGAACCTGCAACTCATTACAGCTTTGGATTATTCTTCTCTAGTAATGATGTTGAGCATCTTTTCATACATATATTGGCCATCCGTAAGTCTTCTTTGGAGAAATATCTTTAAAAATGTGTAACTTTAACCCTTGATGCATATATCCATATTCCTTGGTACAGCCTGAGACGGGGCGTGTGTACTGGTAATCACTTCGGTTAGTTACCATCAGTGATTCGAGTGGCAGGGTCATTTCCTGGAGTTTCCTTGAAGGAAGAGGAATGTGCTGGAGGTTGATGTTTTTCCTGAGTGTTGCTTTCACTGGCTGCCAGGTGGCATGTTACTGTGGGGATTAAATTTAGAATTTAAGTGTAGGCAGGATAGTATTCACTGGCTATATAGGTTTAGTGATGCCAGTTATTTAAGGTCTGTATCTGTTCTGATTGGCTGATGCCTGCGCCATAACTGCTATTTGACATTCACACATATAGATTGTCTGCCTCACTTGCCTGGCATACAGTTGATACTTGTTACTTTTCTTCTTTTCTTTCTATTTTGGGCTCTTTTATGTCCTCGAGAGTAGGCCATTGATTGCTAGTATCTATTTTTTTTTTGAGGAATGAACAATTTTTAAAAAGTTTTTACTTACTGATCTGAGAGAAAGAGAGAGAGAAACATTGATATGGAAGAGAAACATTGATTGGTGGCCTGTTTTGTGTGCCCCGACCAGGGATTGAACTCACAACCTAGGTATGTCCCCTGACTAGGATTCAACTCTCAAACTTTCAGTGTATGGGACTACACTCCAACCAACTGAGCCGTCTGGCTAGGGAGCTCTGATGCATTTTGGTGGGTGGTCTGGTTCTTTAGCATGAAAACAAAATCTTTCTATACAGCCCTTTGCCACAGTGAGGTTGGCAATTGCTCATAATCCCAGAGTCCCCCACCGAGCCCCTTAGTCTGTTACCCTGAAGAAGCTTTTTAAAGGAAGTTGTTCTGTGTGGACACAGTCACATTCAGTTATGTTCTCACTTGCTGATACCCACAAGGACCACTGACTGGTGTAAATGAAAAAGTCAGTGTTACTTATGGAAACAATTTAAATGGAGTTAATAGGAGACTGGTTAAATCAAGTGTGGTACAGCCATACTGCAGTGGTTGCCACACTTGTTCTGTAGAGAGCCAGAGAGTAACATTTAGGGGCCACAGACTCACTGATGCAACTACTCAACTCAGCTGTTGAGACGCACAGGCAGCCACAGACAATATGTAAGCAACTGGGCTTCGTATGCGCTCCAGGAAAGCTTTGTTTAGGTGCTGGGTCATCCCTGACCTGCAGGCCATAGTTTGCTAACCTCTGTTATAATGAACTCTTACCATTTGTCTATTAAAAAGACTCCAATAGAATTATGTGCACTGACAAAGATGTCCATCAAACCATTAAATAAATAAATAAAGTAACACACCCACTTGTACAGGCATGAATAGAGTCGTAAAGAACCCGCGCCCAGCTGTTAACAGTAGTCACACCAGGTGATTAGAGTTGGGGAAGTGGGAGATTGAGGCAGACAAGTATTGAAACTTACTGTTTCAATGTTGTGCACTGAGAACACCTGGCTTTGTAATTAAATAAAATTCAATAGGGATTTTTTTTAATTCAAAAGAGTTTACTAGTCATAATTATTATGTGCATAAGCTTGTGTTCGACATAAAATATAAGAACTTCACAATCATCATAACCACACAATCACCATTGCACAGTGCCTCTAAGCATCCATGTAGGATGGGAGTCTAGCTGGATCTGTGGACAAAGAGGATGCAGGCTGATTGAGAAGCCAGGGCAGGGCCTGGATTGGGAAGTGGGAAGCTGTATGGGAACCAGGGTCTGAGGGAAAGCTGGGGACAGAGACATCAGCCTTTTAGTCAGGAAGCCCCTCACATACAGCTCCCTCTAGGTCTGAAGGGACTCAGGAATGTTACAGTGGCTTCTACTTTCTGAGTCAGTACCTGCACTTTCACCGAGCTCAAAGCCCTTGTTCCCTTATTTGCCGGAGATGCACTGCTGCAGTCCTGGTGCTGGTGGGTAGGGGAGGTCTCCACGCTCACAGCCAAGGCAGGAGGGGCACAGGTCAAGTTCACTGCCCTGGCATACGTGTACCACAGAGGAGAGTGAGAGTGAGAGGGATGTTTGTGCAATAAGTCACCTATGAGTCACATCTGAGCTTCCTTTGTGTAGTAAGTCACCTATGAGACACCCGAAGTATGACTAGGAGTTCATCACATCAACCAAGGCAGGGCAGGAAGTTCCAGGCAGGCAGAAGAGCAGAAGGTCCAGAGGCAGGAAATGCAGTCAAAGGCACCCTGAGAAATTTATGCACAGAGGTGAGGCTGAGAGGCCACAGATCAGGAAGAGAAACTAGCAGAGAGTTGCAAGCAGGAGAGACAGAAAGTCAAACTTGAACGTTAGAGAGATTTTCTGGTGGTGGTGGGGGGTGGGGGACGGGAAGGGATGGCGGAGCAGTTCATGACCTCTTGTCCAGGTGAGAAGTGATGTGAGCCTGCCTTCAGCCAGCCCCTGGCCTCAGGCCTCTTTGCCCTCACCTCTGGGCCTGCCCACTGGGCTTGCTATGTGCTCCCCTTGCCTCTTAGCGCAGCCAGTTCTCCTTCAGTCTTTAAACTATTACAATTCAGGTATTACCTCCGAGAAGAAAAGTTCATTGATATCTTCACCCCATCCCCCACCACTGGGTCAGGGAGCCCTGATCTGGGCTCTATGAGGTTCTGTGCATTTCTCTGTCTCTGTGTGAATCTTATTGCTCTATGATTGTATTTTGGTTCTGAATTAGACTGTTACTTTCCTAGCGCAGGGGCAAGGTCTCATTCGTCTTTGGGTTTCCAAAGCTGAGCACAAAACCTGATCAAGAAGGTAATTCGTAAATATCTGTGACTGAAGGAGTAAATGAATAAGTGAAAAGTAAAGAGGGAAGGTGAGAGATATTTGGGGCGTCACATCAGGACAACTTGCCAAGTGTCTGGGCAGGGCTGCTGGGAAGGGCAGGTAGCGAGGGTGGCATCCAGGGTGACTCCAGGTTATCTGGTTTGGGACTAGGGAAGGCGAGAATTGTTTTCACTAGCAATACTGACTCCTAATTTATTTTTTTCCCCTCACACTAACCACTTCTCCAACTCTCTGCACACCAACTGAGTGTCCAGCAATTCAACTTGGCCATGGCCGGGCAGCTCAATCGGTTAGAGCGTCGTCTCTAATACACCAAGGTATTTGATCCCCTGTCAGGGCACATACAGGAATCAGCCAATGAATGCATAAACAAGAGCAACAATTGGATGTCCCCCCATCTCCCTTCCTTTCTCTCTCTAAAATCAATAAATCAAAAATAAAATAAAATAATTTAAAAAATTCAATTCAATTCTCGCACTATCTACTTGGAGTCGGCATGAGATTCCACAGGTAGAGCTCACTCCACAAGACTGCCTCTACTTCAGACACCAATCACAAGTCCCAGGGTCTTACCTGTACTTCTGACCAACTGGCTCTAAATTGGGGTTTCCACAAACTCCTTTTCAGGTTCGGTGATTTGTTAGAACAGCTCACACAAATCAAGGAAACACTTTACATTTACCGCTTTTTTTATAAAGGATGCAACTCAGGAACCGCCAGGCAGAAGAGATGCATGGAGCAAAGTATTGGAGGCAGGGCGGCCCAAAGCCTCATGGCCTCTCTGGGTAGGGCATCCTCCTAGCACCTAGCACCTCAGTGCGGTTACCAGCCGGAAGCTCTTTGAACCTGCCTGCGTATAATTGAAAGCAAAAAGGGAATTTATTGACTCACATAAGTGACAACTCCAGGGGGCAGGTCCATGTCTGGATAGAAAGGTCAGGACCTTGACTTCACTCCCAGATGATTTAGTCTCACTTCCTATCTCTAAGTTCCATCGCAGCGAGTTCAGCCTGTGGTGGTGGTGGTGGGGGCGGGGGCAAAACATGGCTACAGTAGCTCCAGCTGCCTACTTTCCAGCTCAATGCCAGACAGAAAGGGCAGGCTTCTTATTTAGATCTAGAAGAACCTGCAACAGTCCAGAGAATCACTCTCTGGAGGCCAGTATGGTTGTTTGCTGGTCCCTTTACCCATCTGAGGTCAAGGGCCAGCAGTAGAGTCTGGTGCCAGATAAGGAGGGATGGGTCCTTGGCGGGTGGGGGAAGCAACAAATGTTCACTATGTGGGGAGGGGCAATGCTCTGAAATCCTGCCAAGGTGGAGCTCGGACAGCACCAGCACAGTGCCTGGTACTTTGCAGCTCTCAGGAAATACTTCCACGTTGCATGAAAATATGGCACTACCAAGCCATGACCTGGGGCTCCAGGACAGAAGCTACTTCCTGGCTTTATGGTCAGTGTGGATCCAAAGGGTGAAGATACCTGCTGGCTGAGTCAAGGTACACAAGTGGGCCTGGACAGGTAGCTTAGTTGGTTAGTGTGTCGTCCTAATACACTAAATTTGTGGGTATGATCCCTGATCAGGACACATGTAAGAATCAACCAATGAATGCATAAATAAGTGGAAAAACACACTGATATTTCTCTCTCTTTCTCTCTTCCCTTCCTCTCTCCCTCTCTCTAAAATCAAATTAAAAAAATACTCTAGAAGCCTGCATGGTATGAGCCCTTTTAATTTGGAATATGTAAATGCTAATCTGCCTCGGGAAATCCAGGCGAGAGGACAAAACACCCAAACATTGGAAAGTTGCGGAGTCAAGAAATCTCTTAAGGTTATGAGAGCCTTAGTCCTTACGCTATGGTTTCCAATTCTCTCTCCTAGATGGAACCTAGGGGGCCAATTTATTAATTTGTTCACTCATCGAATAAAGACTGATTGATCACCAACTTTGGGCCAAATCCTGGAGGAAGAAAGGCGAATAAGGCCCAACCTTCACTGGCCAGAGCGGGGAGAGTGACTAAACAAGTGACCATCCTGAATGTGTAACTGCGAATAATGAAGGTGTCACAGAAGAGCTTTGAAAGGAAGGAGCGGCCCTTTCCCCCCGGCACCGTCTCACCTGTGCCGTCTGTGGGCGGTTTCTCTGCACACTGGGGTTGAAATCGTCTAAATCCACGCCTGGAGCACTGCCCAATATTGCAAACGGGAGGGTAAAGTTGGCATGAATTTTATGGAGAAAAATTTGCCAATAGCTAGCTAAATTTTCCAGCATTTTCTCTTCTAGGAAGATACTTTTATTTGCATGTGTAAGGAATCACATGTGAACAGGGTTTTGTACTACAGTGCCATTGGTGATAACAAACACTGGAGATAAACTTAATGCTCAATGTTAATCACAGAGATGGTATAACCACACAAATAAATGCAGACCTAAAGCGGGTCCTCAAATAATGTTTCCTTCAATGTTATTGTCTAATAACTTGTGACTAGGTGTCGTCGGAACTCTTGCTTATAGGTGCCTGTTTAAATCTTTAGCCTCTGGTAAAATTGGTTTCATTACACGTTGTTTCACTTAAAGTCACAGAACCTAGCCATGACATTAAGTGAGGATTCACTGCATTAAATCAAAGGGTTAACTGTGCGTTGTTCTGGAACATTGACCAAGACATTCTAAGAAGTGAAAAAGCAAGGGCCTGAACTGTGTTACAATATGCTGTCTTTTTTAGAAAAAAAGGAAAAAATATTGCTTGTCTGTATAAACTACACATATACATAAGCTAGTTTAAACTAGCTCTGGAAGGTAACAGATATCTCCTTTAGGGAGAGGGATTGGATGTTCCAGGGATGATGACAGGGAAACTTCACTGTGTACTTCAGTTTTTAATGTATTATCTATTTTTTAAAAAGTACCCCTGTTCTGGCCAAGATGGAGGCATAGGTAGATACGCTTTGCTTCCTTGCACAACCAAAAGAAGGACAACAACCAATGTAAAAACAAAAAAACAACCAGAACTGCCAGAAAACCAAACTGTATGGAAGTCTGACAACTAAGGGGTTAAAGAAGAAACATTGATCTAGACTGGTAGGAGGGGCAGAGATGGGCAGCCAGGTGGACAGGACATGCAGCAAGGTGGTGTTGGGCAGAATGGCGGGTAGGGTGGCGGCTGGCAGACCAGGTGGTCCCGCATTCACGTGCAGATAAACCGGGAAGAACAACCGGGGAGAGAGACAGACCATGCGACCCAGGGCTCCAGCCTGGGAAAAGTAGAGCCTCAGAACCTCTAGAGGTGAAAACCTGTGGGGTTTGTGGCAGTGGGAGAAACTTCCAACCTTACAGGAGAGTCTGTTGGAGAGACCACAGGGTCCAAGAACATACACAAACCACCCACCTGGGAATCAGCACCAGAAGGTCCCAATTTGCTTGTGGGTAGCAGGGGAAGTGACTGAAAGTGGGGCAAGAGCTGAGTAAGTGGCATTGTTCCCTCTCTGACCCTTCCCCCACATATAGCTCCACAACGCAGTGACTTGGGTTGCCCTGGCTTGGCCAATACCTAAGGCTCCACCCCTTACAATGTAACAGGTGCTCCCAGACAAAGAAATATGGCCCAAAGGAAAGAACAGATCAAAACTCCAGAAACAGAACTATGAAGAGATAGCCAACTTATCAGATACGGAGCTCAAAACACTGGTAATCAGAATGCTCACAGGAATGATTGAGTATGGCTGCAAAATAGGGAAAGAAGTATAGGCTCTGCAAGTGAAATAAAGAAAAATATACAGGGGCCCTGGCCAGTGTAGCTCAGTGGATTGAGCTCGGGCTGCAAACCAAGGGGTCGCCAGTTTGATTCCCAGTCAGGGCACATGCCTAGGTTGTGGGCCAGGTCCCCAGTGGGGGCCACATGAGAGGCAACCATACATTGATGTTTCCCTCTCTCCTTCCCTTCCTTTTCTCTAAAAATAAATAAATAAAATCTTTTTTTAAAAAGAAAAATATATAAGGAACCAACAGTGAAGGGAAGGAAACCAGACTCAAATCAATGATTTGAAACAGAATGGAAAAATAAGAATTCAAAAATACAAGGAGTGCCCCGGAGGGTGTGGCTCAGTGGATTGAGCACTGGCCCGCAAACCCAAGGGTCACCTCTTGAGTTCCCAGTCAGGGCACATACCTGGGTTCTGGGCCTGGTCGCAAGTGGGGGTGTGTGTGTGAGAGGCAACCACACATTGATGTTTCCCTCTCTTTCTCTCTCCCCCTCTTGCTAAAAATAAATAAAACCTTTTGAAAATATGTAAAATATTTCTTTTTTTTAAAGTGCAGACATATTTTTTTAGATTTTTAAAAAATTTATTTATCTTTAGAGGGAAAGGGAAGGAGAGAGGCAGAGAAGTATCAATGTATGGTTGCCTCCCGTGCGTCCCCCACCGGGAACTGGCAGGCATGTGCCCTGACTGGGAATCGAATTGCAACCCTCTGGTTTGCAGGCCCACACTCAATCCACTGAGCTATACCAGCCAGGGCTGTAAAATGAGGAGAGGCTTAGGAATCTCTAGTATAACTTTAAACATTCCAACATCTGAATCATAGGGGTGCCAGAAGGAGAATAGGAAGACCAAGAAATGGAAAACTAATTTGAACAAATAATGAAGGAGAACTTCCCCAATCTAGCATAGGAGATAGACTTCTAGGAAGCTCAGAGGGTCCCAAAGAAGTTGGACTCAAGGAGGAACACACCAAGGCACATCATAACCACATTACCCAAGATGAAAGATAAGGAGAGAATCTTAAAGCAGCAAGAGAAAAGGAGACAGTTACCTATAAAGGAGTTACCATAAGATTGGCAGCTGATTTCTCAAAAGATACTTTGTAGGCAAGAAGGAGCTGGAAAGCAATATTCATGAAAGGCCAACACCTACATCCAAGAATACTCTATCCAGCAAATCTTTCACTAGAATGGAAGGGCAGATAAAGTGCTTCCCAGATAAGGTCAAGTTCAAGGAGTTCATCATCACCCAGACCTTATATGAAATGTTAAAGGGACTTATCTAAGAAAAAAAAGATAAAAAACTATAAACAGTAAAATGGCAACAAATTCACAACTATCAACAACTGAACCTAAAAACAAAAACAAACTAAGCAAACAACTGGAACAGGAACAGATTCACAGAAGTAAAGATCACATGGAGGGTTATCAGTGGGGAGGGGGAAGGTGAAGAATGGGGGAAAAGGTATGAGGACTAAGAAGCATAAAATGGTAGGGACAAAATAGACAGGGTGAGGTTAAGAATAGTATAGGAAATGGAGAAGCCAAAGAACTTATATGACCCATGCACATGAACTAAGGACAGGGGTGGGGGAGGATGTTGGTGGGAGGGGGTGCAAGGTGGAGGGAGATAAAGAAGAGGGGAAAAATGGGACAACTGTAATAGCATAATAAATAAAATATACTTTAAAAATAAAAAAAATAAAAGTACCTTTCTTAGCTGAGAGAGAGATGTAGTTTGCATCTCTGGAGGGTGCCTGGCTGATTTTGTGTCAAGGGTCCCTTTATCCTACAGCAGAAGGCCCATTTAGGGGCCCTTCTTCCTCACATTGACTTGGCACAAACCTTTAGCGTTCCCAGAAGCTGTGCATTAGCTTCCATCTCTCTTCTCCACCCCCTGCAACAGGATTTGTTCTTTCACAAACCTTAGTGTTTGGTTTGTGTAAAGCCCTAGGACCCAACCTGCTGGTCACCAGGTTGGTTCCAGCTGCTGGCAGTTGTGTGGACACTGCAGCAGCTCATCTTTACTGCTTGACAGCTGATTTGTAGTCAGCTCAGTTTGGGCCCTGCTGTGGGGCTGCTCCAGTTGTGGGCTCTTCCTGTTTTGTGGGGGAAGTCCCCTTTAAAGCTGGTGCTTAAAGCTGAAACCAAATGTAACGGCCACGGCCACCACAAAGGGAGGGTCTCAAGTTCCTTCTAAATCTTCACTGGAGTCCTTAGGAAGTTCAAGGCCGAGGGTCCTGGAGGAACCCATCTCCTGGTAGTTTCTGTATCTAGATTTGTTTTCCCCCCAGTGAGGGAATTTTGTCCCCTGCCTCTCCTTTCCCACCATGACTTTTATTTTATGATTCCCATTTTAAATTTAGCCAAGAATTGCAGACATTTTTTTAAAGATGAAAAGAAGCCAGTGGGGGTGGGGGTTTTGATGGTGAGAGTGGGGGGAGGATTGGACAGGGGTGAGCGATGGCCAAAAAAGCAGAACAACTGTAACTGAACAACAAAAAATAAAGCAGTATATAAAAAAAGAAGTCACAGGATGATCCCCTCTCTTTCTCTATGAGACCAAAGAGGAGAGATTAGGAACTGACTCTCCCATTTTCCTTAGAAACATTAACCCTGGGGCGGGTAGGGGCAGCTGTTGAGCGTTAGGGTGTGCCTTAGGGGCAGATTGAGCAAATGAGAGTGGCCCCCAGAAGTAAGGCAGCGGGTAGTAAGGCAAGGTAAGGTGAGGACTGTGTGTAGGGAAGCATCTGTTCCAGCCCATATTGGTATGCATAATTTTTTTTGAGTGGGGGAGGCACATGAGATTTTGATGTGAAATTGCATGCATCTTTAAAACATGTGTGTACCCCAAACCAGAGTAGGCCTCCAGGGTACAGCCTTTCCCCTAGGAAAAGTCTGCACTTTTGCTAGTTTTCCCAGCTACCTCTTAGAGGGAAGCCTACAGTCTATGGGGACTGCCTCAGGGTGGTTGCAAGATACTTGAACTTTGTCTTAGTTCTTTGGGGCGGCTATAACAAAATACGATAGACTGGGTAGCTTATAAACAGTGGAAATTTATCTCCCATCTTTCTGGCACCTGAAGTGTCCAAGTTCAGGGAGCTGGCAGATTCTGTGTCTACAGAGGCCTATTTTCTGGTTCCCTTACAGCTGTTTTCTGGCTGTGTCCTTAAGTGAAGGAAGGGAGCTTATGAGGAAGCTCTGTGCGCTCTTTTTGATGAGGGCACTAATCCCATTCATGATGGCTCCACCCTCTTGACCTAATCACCTCCCAAAGCCTCACTGTCTAACACCATCACCTTGGAGGTTAGTATTTCAAAATGTGATTTTCCGGGACACAAATATTCAGACCGTAGCAACCTTGTCCAGGTAAGTCTCCCAGGCCCTGTGGAACTAAAGGGTGTTTTATCAACACGACCTTTCAAGGAGAGGTCAGCCCTGGATTTGAAAGATTTTAATATTTGTTTTGGTTGTTTCTACTATTTTTTCCATGGGTCCCCACCCCAGCCGCATCTGTTAGGAACCTGCTGGGAGCCACACTCCACTGAGATCTGCCTCCTGTCACCCAGCCCCTTATCCATCCACAGCCTTGGAGGCAGCTGAGCTCACCTGAGCTCTGTCCTCCGCCCTGCCCCCACCTGTGTTAT